TAAAACGACACTCAACCGCGCACAACCTATAACACAGTGTCAACCGAGCGTGAAATTAGAAGAGATTCTTATCTGACCCTGGGACCGAGCATTTAATGCGAGGCAGAGAGCAGAAGCCGAGAGAGCCAAAGGATGTGACGTTTAACCCTTTCACCCCCGAGGCACGTGTCTCTGAATAACACACTCTCCTCTTAAATATCCGGCGGCACTAAAGAAACAATGCCACTAAATTAATTACATATCAATTTGTGGTGGTGCCGGTTGTTTCTACATTTATCATTATCGTGCAGCGTTCAAAACATTACAAAAAGAATAAACGACCGCGGCGGTTGCTTTTTTTCGTCTACCGCGCGCGATAACAATTCAATTCGGGAGACCAACCGCGCGCGAAAGGTGCTGAAAACAAAAACACATACAGTATGTGTGCTTTGCCAAAATTAATGCTTGCACGCAAACCTCCGATGTTTATACATATAAGCGCTTGCCAATTCTATGTTGGCAGGAGATAACGCTTTCCGCGCACCGCTGAATAAAAAAAACATGTAATTAAAATTGTTTATCTTTTAAATGAGTTTGAAAATTACGATTTTGTTTAAGCATCTCTTGACAATGTATGATTTTACGTTGCTTACTTCCCACTACAAAAGTGAACAACAACTCTGATTAGATTTCATTTGCGCAAATTGCATGTTTTCCAAGCATTAAAATTTGTGTTTACCGACAGCGTGTACAGGAAATGATAAATTGGCTTAATTTATATTTTGTGGAGCGAGAGAGGAAAGCGGCTTTTGCGTTTTTTGTAATGTTCCGTGCGGTTTGGTGTGCAAACATATCTCGGTAATAAATTTCGCTTCACGAAGTTGGGGTGAGATGAAATTTGCAATTAAATTGTTTTTGGCCTGCAGTTCATAAATTGAGAGAATAAACCGCTCGACCCCGCTTTTTGTTATTCCCTCTCTCAACTCACAGCGACGGGGCCAGGTGTTTTTCGTTACGACGTCAATAATTGTTCTATAACTCAAAACTTATGTAATAAAAAAGACACACGAAATATAATTTAACATATAGTTTCAGAAAACAATTATTAGAATATCAAAATATTATTTAAGAGGAAATTAAATATGTGAAAAATCCCTTTTTGCTGCGGTTTCCCTAGAGTTCTCGGAGTGTTTTGCAATTTTGCTAGAATTTGTTTGTTTCCCGGTTGTGCCGTTTTTATTGTGGTTATTTACCTTTGTTGTGGTCCCCGTGGCATTTAGAGAAATGAGACGCTGAGAGCACGGACTGACGTCGACGAGTTTTACGATGATGAGCCTCTTGATTTCTGTGCCATTTCTTTTAAATCCGCAAGTCGTGCGAGGGCAAAAACATCAACAACGCGAGGTTTTAGGGCTTTTTCTCGGTGTTTGCTTGCCCAACACTCACACTTCGCGGTTTATAATTATACCTAAATACAAGCCACACGGGCGCTCGTGTGCTTTGTCGGAGTTTGTGCTTTCTCGAGAGACGGCGGAGCGCGGATTTCGAGAGGAATTCGTTTATTCTGCGCGCGTATTTATGTTTGTCACAAAATTAAGAGCGGTCCTCTTAAGTGTTGTGTACAATCAATATTGAGGTAAGGATCGCCGTGAACTGCAAACAGCTACTCGTGAAGACAAAACAGCTGGGCGCCTTTCTGCTAATGAGAACAATTTTGAAGACAAAAAATAATAATATAATAATAAAATAAATATATTTGCCACATAGAATTCGGCTTTTTCTTTAATGAATGCTAAATAAAAATCAGTTTGGAAATATAATATTAAATTCAATTTTAAATCAACAAAACATTTAAATGAAATATTAAACAAAACACAAAATGAACTAATGACCTCATGAAAAATAAACGAAATCTCTTTAATTTAACCCTCAAACTGCTTTGCTAACTAGTAACTTGACAATGACGACACAAACAAAAGACACTGCTTATACCACATATCACTATACACACAAAATTTGCTCAAGAAAAACCATACAAGCTCGATAGGTGTGTATGTAATAATTCTAATTCGTTTAAGGAATGAATAATTAATACAATTTCTTATTTACGGCAATATTAATGACATAATTAACAATGCACAGAAATTAATAGAAAAAGAACATAAACAAAAATTTTAGTAAAAAATTCAAACATTAGACCCTTTTATATTTTAAGCCCATATCATTATGGATCATTTGAAAACTCTCGCGTATTTTAAATTGAATAACAAATCGCTGCTGTAAGCATCAAACAGAGAAAGACCCGCCGGGGTTAATGGGTGCATTTTGGCGAAGAGACCCCCCGTAAAACGCACAATAAACGTCACACAGCGATTGAGCACGCCGGCCGCGGCTGCCGCTCTGCGCGTTTTCTAAAACGCAGCCCCAGCGTGCTCTCACAACAGAAAAAAGCAGCAGCAGTTACTCCAACTTATAATATAATAAATATCCACCCCGACGACGCAGCGCAGCCACACACGCATTAATTTTGATCACATTTTTGCCACCTCAGTTGCGTCTGAACCACACATCGAGCCGCGCACTTTTGTCGGTGTGCACGTCTCATGTTGGCCAAATGCTCGCGTAATTTAATCTCATTTATTATTTATAAGCACTTCAAAGTGAAGCGGATGATATTATTTTATTATCCCGCTGCAGCCCCCGAGGCGCGGGAAACCGCCCTGCGCTGCTCTCCGCTGGAAATCTGCATGAGTGGAAAAGCTGCGCTGCCCTCTCCAAAAACCAAAGCGCGCATTTGTGCGGGTTCAGCGGCTGTGAAATCCGTGCATTCACGTTTGCCAAATTCTGGTTTAACTCTTTTAGCTTATTTATGTTTGAATTTTTATTCCTATCATTAACCTCATATTTGTCATCAAATTCAAAATTTTCTTAAAATACAATGCCGTGAATTAAGGCTAGAATAAAATTATAATTTTTTTTGCCATGATAAATGATTATTTATTATAGTTGTAAAATTATTGCCATTGGCTTCTAATTATTTTTACTGACGTTGAGCTAATTTTCTAAACCAAAATAATAGAAAATATTATGAATAAAAAACATTTAAAAATGAAAAAAAATATATACACATAGATTATTTTCTTTGATAATATAGTTTAAAATAATGATTTTAATTCAATTATGACTTGTATTGATTAAAGCCTTTCCTTGTTTAATATTCCCGTTTTGTTGTATGAAATCTCGTTTTCAAGCAACGTTCTTGGCGTTTTATTTGCAATGTGAAACCGAATAATTCTGAATTGAGATGTAAAAATGCCGGAGTGGTACAAAAGCGGAAATTTGTCACAGCTCATCATCACCCAGACGCGTTTCATTAGAGCTCAACACCATCGTGCAGCGCGGCTACTTGATTCGCAAAGGGCATTCATGGCTGCCGAGTGAATTTAGTTGCTTGTTTTATGGATGCTGCGGATGTTTTATGGTCCGAGCTACAAAATAATAATAAAAGCAGCTGCCGCCGCGCGCTGTGTAGAGATACATTTACCGCACGGTGTGTCCGCGCCTTTTTCGCAGCCGCCTTGTTGAGTACAGCACGGATCTCTCTTTATTCTCGCTCGGAGTGCGTGATGTTGACGCAAGCACAGATTAAACATAATTCCATTTTATTGCCGATGCCGCTGCAGTCACTCCTCGTTTCTGCACGGACAGCAATTTATTCATCCGCCAGCGGCATTAAACGCATAAGTCATGATCAAATAAAATTTAAAAAAAAATCCGAATAATCGATTTTATTGGACAGAATTGAGTTTTAATTCATTGTGAATAAGGAAAGGGTGGCATAATTCCGGCGAATGCTCAACTGGAAGCTGTCGTTTGAATTGAAAATTATTATTAAGAGGGGCCTGCGTGCATCTCTCACTTCTCGCTCGTCGCAATATATGCGCCTGGCTTGCATGTTGTATGGAGCGATTTGATTTAAATAAATGTGTTGAACGCACATCACACTCCGCGGCCCATTCTTAATTGAATACGAGTCGAAAGCATCAACAACAATGTGCTGGCGAGGTTTATTAACCATTTCCTCTTCGATCTAAACCCATTCAAGAATTAATTTCAGTGGCTATACCATGGTCCAAACAAAGCTTTATATTTTTAAATAGTGTCTCTATTCCAATCTGAAGAATTGACGATGAAAAATTTCAGATTTTGTTTTAAATATTTATATTTTTTATGTGCAATGAGATCGTTAGTCGTTATTTAGGCCAAGCATACAGCGCGAAAGGTTATCAGCGGTGGCAGCGGAGGATAGTTTCGAGTTTCCGTGTTTTGTTAATTCAGAACCCTCGCCGCTCATTATGGCATCCCTCTCTTGTTTTGTGTTGGGAAACAGGCCGTGCTCATTATTCTCCGCGCTCTCTCGGCATAGCAGTTAATGAATGTGTACGCCCTTTCTGTTCCTCGGAGTGTGTTTATGATGTGCTGGGGAACTACACTTTTCTTTGACCACTCAATCAACACCCTCACTCGCCCCTCACGGGCATCATTTAATTAAATAATACGACCCACATCCTCTTTCCTCTTTGCGTGAATAACTCGGCTAGAGTGAGAATAACTATTGTTTTAGTCTTCCGTAATTTAACCGCATGACCACGGAAAAATCACCAAATTGAGTTTGTCCTTGAGCTTATTCAGATTTAGCAATGAAAATTGGCTTTTGTATTGAAAACAAAAAATCGTCAAATTGAATTTAATTGTTAATTAGCCAATAGTTAGATTAGGTGTAGATTTTATGATAGTTATTTTTCATTCTCATTTCTGCGTCCTTCTTCAATAATTTCATTTCTGATTTTAATTGAAATTTAATTTGGTATTTAACTTCCTTTTTTTATTGCTGAGTATATTTTTAAATCTTGCCTTATATTTTATTTTTTCATTTTTTGTAAGCAGTCAGTTATGAAGAGAATATTTGATAAATAAAATGCAATATAATTAATTTTTATATTTTCAGTTTTTTTATAATTTAATCATTTTATGCACATTACATAAAAATCCAAGATCATTTTAGTGGCATTTGATTACACAGTATAGCAATAATATTTTACACGTCTCGTCGCATATATTGTGGCTGCACAAAACACCCTCGATAATCCATGTCGCGCGTTGCATCAAATTAAAATGTCCTTCGCGAGCATCAGAACAAAACGGGTGTTGCGCCTCCAATTAAATTTAATGAATCAATTTTCGTTTATATATATGCTTAATATTTGGCATCAACAGAGAGAAAGTCACTAGCGCGTCGTAATCATCAATTAAATGTTAATTGGCATGATAAGTCAGTCAATCGCATCAACTTGGCCTGGCCACAAGACTCACGGGTTTGAAACTCTGCGGCGGAGGGACGGGGGGCGATCCGGGGGTTGAGGGCCGCGGAGAGCCTTGACTGGGGGTCGGCGTGGTGCAGCCGTCCATGGCCGTCGGGGGACTGAGCCGCGGCCGCGGCAGCATGGCCACCGACGGCGCCAAACTGCGGAGGGTGGTGTAGAGTTCAAAGGGTGAGGCGGCAGGACCTCCGAAGAGCGGCGCCTGCAGACGCTGCAGGTACTGCTCGGGGGGCGCCACGGGGGCAGTGGCCCCGAGGAGCCGGTCCATCGAGAAGGCGTGGGTTTGCTGATGCTGGTGGGTCGGCGTGGGCTTGGGGAGGCCGCTCGGCGGGATGAGACCAGGATAAGGGTACATGGCTGCGGCGGCTGCTGCTACATGCTGATATCTGCCAAAAATAATAATTCGCAAATTTAGTCTCAATTTAATTAACACACAATAAGAAAAAATAAACTAAAATTTAGTTGATATATAATACTTTTCTGCAACATTTTTAAATGAAACTTTTTCTTCCGTAATTCGGTAGTATTTTAAAAAATTATATAAATGTTTAATTAATGAAATATTATTTTGTTTAAATTTACCTGTACATAGGATTGCAGTAGAGTTGGCCCAGGGGCGAAAGACCTGCCCACGCAGGGGCGTAGGGGCCTGGGTAGAGGCCAACGGTTCGCTTGAAGGCGGCCAGTCGACTCCTGGAGGCGGCCGTTGAGCGCCTCCTCAGCTTTCCAGTGGTGCCCCCGATGAAAACGTCCTCGCTCGAGGGGTCCAACATCCAGTAGTTACCCTTGCCAGGGTCATCGTAGTGTCGGGGCACTTTGACAAAGCACTTGTTGAGACTCAGGTTGTGGCGAATCGAGTTCTGCCAGCCCTGCTTGTTATCACGGTAGTACGGGAAGTTCTTCATGATGAACTCGTAGATGCCGTTCAGGGTGAGTCTTTTTTCCGGCGACTGCCGAATGGCCATCATGATCAGGGCGTTGTAACTATAGGGCGGTTTTTCGTTTTTCTTGCTTTCTTTGGAGCCTTCCTTGGCGTCGGCGCCGTCTTCACCCGGACTGGACACCGACTTTGGTGGCGGCGAGTCGCTTCCGGTCACGTCCAGTTCCGAGTCGGACTCGGAGGCGGCCAGCGAGGCGGCCCCGGCACTCTCGGGCGGACTTGGCGGGCGGCTCGCCGTTTCGGGCAGGATGGAGCTGATGCTGAACGAGGACTTGAGCGGAGTACGAGCCATAGCTGGGTGCAGGACGCAAGTGGGCAGCACACCTTCGATTTTCACCATGATGCTGGCATACCCGCCACGCTGCACAGTCTTCAGGGTTCCTTCCTCGGCAGGCTACTGCGGCGGAGAGCTCGACACTTCTTGGCGCAGCGTCCTGAGAACACTAATCTCCCACTCTGCGTCGCCCTAACTTATATATCGCGTGGCAGGCAGACCCGCGAGACTCCGCCTCGGAGCGCGGGGCCACCAGTGAAGCTTGCGGCGCGGCAGCTCCGCCTCGCGGGGGGCGGCCGCTCGGTCGCTTTGTCGGCTCGAACCATCACGCAGAGGTAAATATTTAATTGTGTGATTCAAACACTCCGTACCAAGCCTAAAGTGAGCTTGGTTGATACAAATCCGACCACCGCCGAACCGCTAATTTTGGTTTCTACCAAAGTTTTTACCCTTTCGCGCTTTGTGTCTTAATTAAAATGCAACCCGCATGTTTTTACGCCAGGGAAGAAGTTTTCTGGATATTTATTGTCCCCTGCCTAATTAGACCCCAGCTGCACAACTGATGCCCGCATTTGCCAATTATATTTTTGTAATTTTTTCAGACAGACTTCTCTGAAATGTGTTGGAACATAATGATGAACGGCGCATTATTTTCTGATTAAATTGCGCGTGACAGATCAGATAGCACCACACTTATTTGTTGATTTCAAAAGTATAATTGCGCTCACACATTTCAGAGGTCATGCATGTCACTTATATAAATTTTATACTATTGCTCAGCAGGAAAACATTCTTGGAAAACACCTTTGAGCGGCATTTGTTTGCCGATGGGATGTAAAATTTGTAATTTATTTGCATACACACGCAAGTGAACGATCATTCATCTTGCTCTCTCCGCTTCATTGTGTTTTTATTTATTGTTTTGGTGTGTCTCTTTAGCGGCGCCCATATGAAAAATGTGTGTTTTCACAAAGCCCCGCGTGCCAATGAAGAGACAACTCTCTTTTCTCCGGTGTGACATTGAAATAAAAAACATTGAATAATAATGCTGCGGCGCGCTGACACAAGAAAAAATAAGACGGATCGCTTGTCATGCACGCGGCGCAGTGATGTCTTAAGCGGTCACGGTGCCACAGAGCGGAGAGATATATAAAAGTTTTATGTTCTTGCAGGTACTTACGTGGGCAACAGCCACTAATTTCATCTACCCACGCCTTTTAATTCACACTGTGATATGAAATAAGAGCACGTCGTCCTATTGAGAAACTGGTATAAAAATATCATCGCGAAGTTTTAAAAACCTAAGGTGATGAAGGCATACCAAAGAAGCAGGGAGGGAAGCCAGGGCGCAGGGTATGCAACTCGCGCAGCAGCAAAGTTCAGCGGGTTGTGTCAGCCTATTTGCTGGAAAATCTATGGAATTTTTCTGATGGAAGGATAAAAAAATTACTCTTTTTAAAACCTATTTTGGATCAAAAAAATTAAAATAAAAGCACTGTTATTTAATATCTATTGCAAAGCAAAAAATGTATCAATGTAAATAAAATTTGCAATTAGAAGCCTCAATACTAAAAATATTAAAATTTTTACTGCAAACTGAAATTAGTTTTAGCCTAATTAAAATAATTTTGTAAAATTTTGACATTATTATACAGAAAAAAAATATCAGATGTACAATATTTTCTAAAGAAAAAATTATACAAAAAAAGAGAATTAATTGTGAATAAAATAAATTTACGTTTTTTAAATCATTGCGTGTCACTTCTCTTCTTATAGCTAATTGCTTTGACCTAAGTCGCTAATTTGCTGCTAAAGATAGAGACAGGTCGCGCCCTTTGCGTCAGAGAGGGGTTTCGAGCCGACAGAGCTGGCGGGGTTCCACTCGCACGCATGTGGGCCCATCATATTACAGTTCTTTACACGCGTGCATATAGCTCACTAATCAGGGAGAATGTGCTCATGCGAAACCCCTTCCGTTAATGTCATCTCGTTGTTGAAGACGCATTCTATATATTTTTTCTGCATTCTGGATTTCCTCTGTACTCCCCAGTTTTCATTTCACGAGCAGATGCATGGGAATTTTTCTACTTTGATGCCTGAATTTGCTCAACGAAGTCATTTTTTCATTCGAGAGGGAAAATCTCCAGAGTAATTCATCGTGAGAATCGCCACGCGGGAGACTTTGTAATCGCGTCCAAATGACAAATTATTAATAAGGGAAGAAATTGCTCATAATTGGAATACAATTTAAGCAAAAATTATGAAGAGCAGATGTGCAACTTCAAAAGAATGTATGCTTGATAGGACGTTTAATTAATGGGAAAACTGCGGGCATTATTAACACCGGCAACGAATGAACAAATTCAGCACAATTGAGTTTTCCACTTAAGCATTATTAATTCACTCTTTTAATAAAATTTAATGGAGTTTTTAAGATAGAAAAGTACAATTAAAACATTGTAATATTCAATCCGATTCAATCAAAACATTAAATTAAAAATTAATCGATTCAAGAAAATTCCCAATAAATATTCATCAAATTTAATTGTAATAAAAAATGTTTAAATAATGCAATATATTAAAAAAATAACAATTTTTAAATTTTAATGTAAGTCGATTTAACGCTTTGTGTCGACCTGCATTAAAATAATCTTGATTTATGACTTCAAAGAAATGTAAAGTTGGATGAATTTTCAAAAAGTTATGAAATTAATGCAATTTTTTTAAAAGTACTCCAACATTGTGACTCAATTTTTCTCACATATAAAATCGGCGCAAAATCACTCAATCGCGGCAGATGACAATGAACGCGCGATGTGAAAAGCCATGAGTCGCAGCACTTGTGCCTGTGTACTGCGTGCAGAGCGCGTTTCGAATGGGATTTTAAAAGGCCTGTCTTTTCCTTCTGACTTCACACAGAGGCTTTTGTGCACGGCAGTCTGCGGCTGTGCGCGCTCTCCTATATAATAAAATGTATAGCCAGAGTGGTAGGTGCACTTGGAAAAAAATTGATTCACAAATTGATATCGCAACTGCTTGTTTGTCTCCCTAAAATAGTGAGATTTTACTTCCACACAGATGCACCTCTATAATAGTCTCGCTGGTCGGTTGATATTTATTATTATTTCCCCGCGTTTTTCGTCTGAAATGCCCTCTTTAGCCATTATATGTTGTGCAATAGACCCGAGTGTACGCACTCGAGTGAGCAGCGTTTTTATTTCAGCGGACCTTTTGTTTCTGAAGCGCAATAAAATGAATTTTTACATAAAACTTCGAAAATAACAGCTGGGGCGACTCGCTCTTTCTCAATTGTGATTTGCCACTGAGCAGAGCAAACCACTGAACACGCGGTTTTCTATTATTGCGTGTTGTTGTTTTATTTGAATAAAACTGCGGAAATAATGGAAATACTTGTGCTGCTTTCCCACGTACTTGAATTGGTCGGGTCTGGACCACCGGGCTCTCTCACTTGCTCTGTAATCCATTAAAAATGGATGCTGCTGGAATTAGCTCAACACCCCTCTCAAAGCAGAAGTGTAAATTTTTTATTGACTCACCCCGTTATTATTATAATTTTAATAAATAAATTAAAATGTGTGCATATAAATATAATAATTATTTGTAAAATTTTTAAACTATATTTGTAATTTTTTTACAAAAGAGAATATTTCAATCACTTTTAAGGAAACTTCTTCTTGTTTAGAGAGCGTGAAAATTTTATAAAGATGAGTGTTGCTTGTGATGCTGGCGTTGGTATATAGGAGCAGGAGGGACGAGACACCACGTGCAGCGAACATAATACATCTCTGATTGGATGTATTGGGATGTAGCTCAGAAACTTTTTGACGTTCACAAGTCATCGTTATAAAGAGAGAAATCAAAAAATGATTGAGAACCTCTACATTATAGACGACTGTTGTTTGTTGTGCCTTATTTTTAACAGAGAGGGTCAATGCAACAAAAAATAACGCACCCTCTGCTTTTCCTTTTGAAAAAGAGCACCTTATTTGAACGAAAGGTGCTGTTGGATTTCGATTCTTTTCATTAGACGGTCAGAGACGAGAGGAACATATGTTATTTTTTGTTTGGTTATTAGTGCTTGTTAGTCTGGGTGAGAAAAATTATTTAGTTTGTTTTGTTTGCGTAATAATCATAACAAAATTTAACCATCAGATAACTAAGCCAGCTTGAATTATTAATTTATTATTGTTTTCGCTACCAGATTTATATAAAGATATATTAAGAGGATAATGGTTATTTATTAAGAAAGTAATGCACTAAAAACAAAAAATAGAAAATATTCAACAAAATATTAAAAATTATTTTAATATTCTTCAGTAAATGAAAAAAATTATATAAAATATTCTGTCAAAAATATTTTTAATTTACTCACTTTGTAGATGCTATGTTAACTCATTTTAATAATTCATATTGTTTAAACTTATTTTTTAAAGTTAATATCACTTTGTTTCAAGAAATTGACGTTTGATGAGATGATCATGGAAGTGAAAAAATCGCGCTTTTTACATCGAGGAAAAAGCCCAATATCTTCATTTTTCCATAATTATATTATTTTATTTAAATCAAATTTGAATAAATAAATAATGCACTTCATTTTTCCCTTCTGATAAGCATTATTTTTAATTATATTTTTTTCCATGCCCAAATTCAAAATAAAATTTTTATTATAGAATCTTATTAATTTTCACTAAATCCATTTTCCAGTTAAGCATTTCATTGAGATGTGACCTGAGACAGTTCAAGTCAAGTAGGCCCCATATCACTGCTGACTGCTGCGAGAAAATTTGTAAGAAGCCTCTGGTGCTTTTGGCCTCTCTTATTCTCGCTCTGGCTCTCTAATAAAATTCATGCAGGCAGCCACGCACGGCACTCTAAAGGCTTTATCGCCGTGACATAAGACAGATGGAGGGATTATTATGTCGGCTGCGTGTAGTGTAATTTGTTTGTACTCACATCTTATCCCGTGTACAACGGTCATCAACTCTGTATTATGAATAACAATGCTGCTGGAAAATGTATTTGCCGGCGCACGGCTTATTTACGTCTCCACCAATGTAATCACGTAATTTATGTCACAAATATTTTCGTATTTCCTCTGCCAACGGATAAAGCCCAATCTGACGTCTTCGTTTATTCTCTTTTTTCTCAGCGGGTCGGCAGCCTTTAGTCCCACACGGTTTTCTTTTTAAAATTCCTGAGG